GGACTGACTAGGTATACAAGAAGTGTTAGGAAAGAAGCCCAGTCATCATATGGGAAATCAGCAGTCACTGATCATGTGCGTCAGATGAACCATGTAGTTGATTGGGATAACGTCAAGGTTATAGACAATGAAGGTCAGAGAAATAAACGGTGGATAAAAGAGGCAATTTACATAAAGAAAGAAAAACAGTGTATGAATAGAGACTCAGGCAATCACGAATTATCAAGTTTGTGGAATAAAGTGCTAATTAACTCTCAAGATCAAGTATCAACTTCAAGCAGTTCGAAAAAGTCAAGCGACCATGCTGGACGAAACGTCACAAATTAAAAAAACAAGGTATGGTTAAGACAAAAGGAAAATATGATTAATTAAGTTCTTAACGTTTTGAATCCAAGGGCAATTTCAATTCTGTTTCAAATAAATTAACAGATGCAACACTATGTATCATACAAAATAATCCATACTCTTTCAAAGTATACCCAACAAATGTGAGAGTAGAATAACCAAGAGTCGTGACAATAAACTTTTAAATTATTAGATCAGCATGCCAGGTTAGAGTTATCTATCACGATTCACGACATTGCCCTTTAGTTTTCTATTGTCGTGAAATATCACTGCACGTTATTGTTTCTCATCAAACCTGGTACAACATAGCTTATACTTCGTATTATATTGTTGTCGACAATTGATCCAAGACTATCCAAACCTCAAACTCAGTTGCCAGTAAAGAATTACATCAGATTCAACACAAGTAGCAGTTAGAAGATGAGGGTTAGCATCACTTGCAGTTTGGTTATTATGGCTGTATGTTGCTTTGCTACGTACTCCATTGGTGAGGAATGCTGTTCTAGGTGCTGCAATCAGTGTCAGGTAGGAAGACTTTCAATTAAACATACAAAACTTCTAATTACTCCACATTTGGCAGTAATCAGTGTCAGGTAGGTAGACTCTCAATTAAACATGCAAAACTTCGAATTACTCCACATTTGGTAGTAATCAGTGTCAGGTAGGTAGACTGTCAATTAAACATATAAAACATTGAATTACTCCACATTTGGCACTAACCAGTGAAAGGTAGGTAGACTTTCAATTAAACATATAAAACTTCGAATTATTCCACACTTGGCAGTAAGGTACCGGGTGTAATCAGTGTCAGGGAGGTAGACTTTCAATTAAACATACAAAACTTCGAATTACTCCACATTTGGCAGTACATGACTGAGTTTTGTAAATTCGGAGAACTAACTCTTTTGTATTAGTTGACTAAAGGATGAAAGATTTCCTTTAGGTTATAAGGATTTTTGAAGGTCAGCCTGGTCCCTCTCATGTTGATATATATTTCAGGCCAGTTGTCATTCAAATGCAGAGAAATCCCATGTAAAAACTACATATATAAGATGGGGGAGAACGTCATGTCCAGATGGAGCAGCTATTGTCTATACAGGTTAGCTTGAACTCAGGAAACAAAACAATTTACGAATTTAGGTTCATTTACGTTGCATTTGATGTCAAATAAAAGTTTTCTCTTGGTCCATGTGTCCGACCCATTATGTACTGAAAGAAAGCCAATCATTCTGACCCAAAACTTTCCTTACTGAAACATTCAAATGGATATTATGTTAAAAAATCAACACTTCAGCTTTCGAATCTGGCATTTTGGCATATAAATGAATAAACAATACATGAATCATACTTCTAATGTAAAAATATCAAGATCAAAAGCTGTTCAATATAACCAACAGTGCCTCCTTAATTAAAAACTAACTCACCTGAATTTTACAGAAATTTCTTTTGATAGCTGTTGGCCTGTTTGTCACAGTCAGTTGCAGTTTAATTTGAGCAAGCCCAAAACAGCTTGTACGAGGGGGGATTCATAAGTAGTGGGACTTTTCTGTGGCAACAAGTTCCTGTGTACATACCTCAACCAAATTTGGCACATGAACGGACTAGGATATAAGGCATTGTTTGGTGAAATTTCAATTTAATTCATTTTGTTCCTTGGCAACAACGGTTGCTATGGTAACCAAAAGTAGGGGTTAACGGAGCAGTTAAAAAATGAAGGGCTTGATCAACATAAATATGCTCATAAATATCTCAAAATGACAGTTATTTTCAAATACTTGGTTTCATATTGTCTCAAACCTTGTAGTCATGACAACTGTAACATATATTACATTATCATGCTATTGTGATGTCATACAAAGCAGTGGCACCAGGACACTGCCATTTTCAGTCCTTCTTGGATGGAGCAAAATTTGAATAAAATAGCAAGGAAAAAGCAAGAATCACGTATAAACATCCGTGCTGTGATTAAATTTAATGCTTTGAAGAAGTTTTCCGTATAAGAGACCTATAGAGGTTTGTTGGAAGTCTATGGGAAAGAAAAAGTAAAAAAAATCTACAGTATATAAGTGGTATTCTGTATATGTATTCTGAATATGCTGTGAGAGCCGAGATGACCAATCTTGGAAAATATGGTTTTTGAGGGTGCATACCTAGAATGGTTGAGGAGATGCCAAAAACGCATTAATTGTCCTGGCGAATACTTTGAGAAAGAGTGAGATTGCACCAAAAGGCTAAGGAATCAATAGTCTTGCACAGAATTGATTTGCTCCACAAAAGGACTTGCTAGAAGTCACGGATTAGATCAGGTCCTGAATATCAGTTGAGACTTGTATATTTAACTTACGAGTGCTCCGTGGACCCTGTTGTGACGTCATGATTGGAACTCTCACTTAACTGAAGTTGGGTGTAATTTTTTGTTTTCACACAATGATTATCACATGTTTGTGGTTCTGTGTTCCAAGTTTGAATAACATCTGGTTGATATAAGTGAAGTTATAGCATTTGTCCCACTACTTATGAATCCCCCCTCGTATAAACAAAATATGAATAAAAAAATGATTTTGACTTGCCTAAATCAAACTACACCTGACCGTGGGATTTGTTGAAAAAGCATGGACTGGGCAACAGGGATCTGGAAAAGTATTGAAAAACGGGTATATACATAATTATATATGTATGTATAAAAATCCTTATTATCGACATTTAAATGTTAGTCCTTTATGGCGGTTTGGCTGATGTTACGTGCATTTTTTGGGAGGTCATTACAAACCCTTTTTGACAAATGTCTTATAGAAGTATGATATTATCTTTAGTTCATTTTTACCACAATATATTGAGATTCTCGCCAAGTTTTGGATCCTGGCTACGCCTCTGTGCTAGTTTCTGCTTACCGTATATCAAGCAATATTGTGTTCAATACTTCATTTTAGGTATAGCCGGAGGTTCCAGTCATGCAGAGTCAGGAGGTGGTTCTAACTACCAATGCCTTCCTACAAACCCACAGTGGGGAAGGTACACAGCAAAAAGTACACATTCTGCTTTAATGTATGGAGCTGAATATCAGGTTGGAACAGCCAGTGGACATTCGAACCCTTTTGATGGTGACAATGCACCCACCCCTGGTGACAGAGAATCACTTTACGAAAGAGATGTACCATGTGCTGTGTGTTCAGTACCTCGTTCAACGTCTATCATGATCCCAGCTTGGAAGACATGTCCAGATGCATGGCATTTCGAATACACTGGTTACCTTGTATCAGAGTATGCAAAACACAGCGGTAGAAGGACATTTGAATGTATGGATGCAGCACCAGAGGGAGTGCCGGGTAGTGGGGCTAATAAGAATGGTGCATTATTTTATGCTGTGGAAGCATCTTGTGGGTCCTTACCTTGTCCAAACTACAAAGATGGGGCAGAGTTGACGTGTGTGGTCTGCACATCTTAAACACATGATATACAATGTATTCTGCCCAAAGTGAATAAAATCATTAGCACTATAAATATGGAGAATTGTTAAGTGGATGTTTATATGTCATCACCAATAAGAAGTGACATATTGTTACAGTCTCCAACATTTGGCATATAGCGTTATAGATCCAGCATCTGTAACAGTTGTTACACTTTGATAACAATTTGAAATTGTTGTCTTTGTCTTAATTAGTGTCGACAGTCAGTCAATTAGCAAAGATAACTTGGCCTTTGTAACAATCAGCAATTATTGACTGTTTAGTATCAACTATATTGACAGAATAAGTTCAATGTATGTTACCATCGTAATGCATGAGGACTGAGGAGAATCAAATGAATCGCTTAGGATTTATCAGTTACATTTTATACTTTTATTTTGTATTTATTTATATCGGACATCTCAATTTTTCCCATTCTCTAACGCTCGCATTTAAAAACTCCGTCAACAATGGGGGGGGGGGGGTAGGGTAGGTACAACAAACTTCAAAACAAATGTGTGACATATGCACAAATTTCGAAGCAAATGCGTGACATATGAATTCCTGTGAAATTTCCGAATGGAATGCGTTAGTTTTTCTGGCGTTCGTTTTTTGATGAATCGACGTTCATTTTATTATCAGGTTAAATGCGATTTGCGTGACATATTCTGTCAACCTAAAAATAAGATGCTTTATTCTTATTCAATCCTGGTGAAATTCACAGGGCAAGAAGATCTCGAGGACAATATTTAAAAGATAGAATTGGAAATAAATTTCACCACACAATTTATTGGAGGTTTGAACATAGGAATTATTAAGAGTTGCTTGCCTGCATTGTTGCCTCTACTGCACTGTTAACTACAGTAATGTTGACCAATGTACTGTTTACTTATTACCAGATATACGTTATCCTAACAAAAACATCACAAAATATAATAGTAGAGTAACCCAGAGTATAGTAACAGATTAACGATGAACTTAACTAACTCACCTTGCTATCTCATGGTGACGCAGCAATTGGAATCATGATTCACAACAATGCATTTTATTATTCAATTTAATAAATGTCATAAAATATTAAATTCTATACATTGGTGTTTTTAATAAAACCTGGAAAACATAGATTAGAATAGTTCTACTGTTATCGCCAACTGAGACTAACATACTTAAAACTCAAACTTCTGCATCAACACGAATAGCCGCTAGAAGATGGGGGTTAGCATCACTTGCAGTTTGGTTATTTTGGCTGTATGTTGCGTTGCTACGTACTCCATTGGTGAGGAATGCTGTTCTAGATGCTGCAATCAGTGTCACGTAGGTAGACTTTCAATAAAACATACAAAACTTCGAATTACTCTACACTTGGCAGTACTTGACTGTGTTTTGTGAATTCAGAGAACACATTTGTCATTTTTATATTAGTTAATCCCTATTATGATCATGTGTATTTCAGGCTGGTTGTAATTCAAAGGCAGAGAAATCTCCTGTGAAGACTACGTACATAAGATGGGGGAGAACATCCTGCCCAGATGGAGCAGCTATTGTCTATGCAGGTTAGCTTGAACTCAAGAAACAAACCAATTTAGGTCCAGTCATGTTGCATTTGATTTCAAATAAAAGTTTTCTCTTTGTCCACGTGTCCATTATGTACTGAAAGATCATTCTGACCCAACAATCTCCTTCCTGAAACATTCAAATGAATATTAATTATATTATAAAATCAACACCTTTTAATCTGACATTTTGGTATATAAATGAATAAACAATACATGAATCATACTTCCAATGTAAAAATATCAAGATCAAAAGCTGTTCAATTTAACCAATAATGGCTCCTAAATCAAAAACTACATGGCCTGTTTGTCACAGTCAATTGCAGTTTAATTTGAGCATACCCAAAACAGCTTTTATAAACACAATATGAATAACAAAAATGATTTTGACTTGCCTAAATCAAACTACACTTGACTGTGGGATTTGTTGAAAAAGCATGGACTGGGCACTAAGGTACAGCTGGAAAATAACATTTTGAGAAAAATTGCTAGGCCTGCACATGTTATTTTCTGGTACAAAATTAAGTATGAAGGCATGCACAGTCAGCACTATCAATGATCTATTTAGTTTTAGATACTATTTTATGAGAATGAATCTTAAACATATGATATACAATGTATTCTATTGAAAGTGAATAAAAAAAATCATTAGCACTATAAATATGATGCATTGTTAAGTGGCTGTTGTATGTCATCACCAAGAAATGGTGACATATTGTTACAGCCTCCAACGTTTAACATATAGCATAAGAGATTCAGCATCTGTAACAGTTGTTACACTTTTGTAACAATCTGCAATTATTGTTTTACTGCCGACAGTCCGGCATTCGGTATAGGTATTGCCTTATTCTGCACTGTACTTACCATATTTACCTGTACTAATAGCTACCTGTAGCTATTAGTACATTTTCATGGCAGCCAAATTGAATCAGGTAACCATGGTAACTTGAGCATATTGCACAGAGTAAGGGCAATTGTTTTGGTTTATATGTAGATACAGGTATACCTATGATGTATATTATTGTTTTCACTAAAATGTCAATAAAATATGAAGATGGTTTTCTATAACATTTTGTAATTCTGTTTCACCTTACAATTCCAATTTTGAGATTGGTAGAAATTAGATATTTGATGATATGAAGAATAGCTCTGACTCTACAAGATATTATTCAATTATATATATCACGGTCGTATAATCACATTTATGCCAAATACTCATACTTACATGTATACAAATATGCTGCCATTTATTGTATTTTAGCTAGAGCTGGTGATAACATTTATATCATACATTGCATACTTAAACATATGCTGCCATCTATTTCTTACTGTATATAGGCCCAGGTAGGTACTGACATCTAACAATGATAACAAAATGTATAGTGGCAGTACTTGTAGTAGTAGGACATAAAATATTAGGTTAAACGTCAGCCGGGCATTGAATTCTCGAGTGAGTTAGAAAGACATGGGTGCGTTTCCTTAGTTTTAAAGACAGTGTCATTGTGATCTTATCAGTGAGACTAACATACCTCAAATCATGACGATGCTATCATCCGTGCACAATATACTTAGTTCTCTCGATATTGTAGTTATACAAGGAAATTTCTGTTGATTTAATTAAAAGAAGTATCTAAAATGAATGAAAAGCTGAGTTTAATTTCATTCATTTTTGGGTGGGGTGTGTATTTATTTTCTAGTTATTTCTTTAAATCAACTTAACTTTCCCCGTATAACTATGAACGTTAAAACGGTGGGCATTTTGAGTTAAGAAATATAGACCTACGAGCAGGTGTTATATCGACGAATACACCCCGCAGGACTAGGCACAAACGTTTTCCGTTCGAAAGCTTTTGTGCCTAGCCCTAAGGGGTGTATTCGTCGATATTACACCTGCTCTGAGGTCTATATTATGATTCAAAGATGAAAACTCACCAACATTTTTCAAATATTTTTTAATGGTCCGCCATTACTCACCCATTCTCAATAAGAATGCAAATTCCAGGTATGAATCTGACGAAAATAAAAGTAGCTTTGAATGGTTTAAAGTTGATGTATTTTTATTTGAATATATGTTAAGTATCTAAAGTCAAAATATCTTCATCAATCTCATACCCCTTAATGGAAAAGTCACATGTTGAAGCTTATCTAGTGTTTATTTAAAAAAGTAAGTCTCTGTCATTTACGTTATAGAGGGTTGTCGTAGCAAGAGACCTATATTTTCATTCAACATATTATTCTCATGTCTGTTTTTGTTCCTAACAATAAGGATATATTTTGTCAAAATACTAAATCATACATCAGGCATTTTGAAGAGACATAAGTGGAAAGAATTCACATTGAAGTCAACAATTGCATGTGACTTATTATTCCTTTTCAGAAACAAAACCTAAGTGCTACATGTCATTCCAATTTTATAGAAAATCACGACAGTCTGTTAACATTAAATTTATCTTTCTTTTCTGATTAGAAATAGTGTTCAGAATCAATTGATAGCCATATCTTGGTGTTTGATATGCCATACAAAATTTATTTGAAATTTGTATATCGATACACCCTTGGTAACGTATATGATCCAAAAATAGTAACATCGTAGAATGAGTCATATCATATGTGATCATGGTTAAACCATCAACTGGTGCTTCTTTTATCATGTTTACACTGTATTTTAACCAATAGTAACATTTAAAACAAACATAGTTCAGTGGACCATCAAGTAACGTAAATGATGGAGAAATTAACTAACTTTTGCAATAGAAACATTAAAGCTAACACAAACATTATTTATGCACAAAACACGTAATGAATTAATATATTGTCACATACGCTATATGTTGGAATGAATATATACAGGATTAAAGGGACTCAGTCTTTCTTCACACATTTGTAATGCTAAATCCTTTGTAACGTAAGTGATTACAAAACTTACAATCGCAAGATCAAAACTATACTATATAATTTGTGATTATCGTCAAAAAGTACCAACATTCAGTGTCTCCTCTAATATCATAGGTACATATGAACTCCTGAAAACGTTACTTAATCCTAGCTTGGACATATAAATCCCATAGAACACGAGTTTGAATCTCAGGACACAGATCTAGGGTTTAAATAGCCCTTTAAACTTCCCTGTTGGAATTGACTCCTCTACTACACACTCAAAATCTGAGACTCTCAGCCAAATAACGTAACATTCTAGAGACCATTGGAGATTCTTCTTTTCTTAAAAAATAGTATTTATTATCATCAGTATCTACATGCAGTGCCTTTTCGACATACCAACAGTAATTGTTAACTGCAGTGAAAAAATCGCCAAGATGTAGCTCTTTATCTCCACTCTCAGTCTGCATGATGGCCCTGTCAGAATACTCTTGGATAGCTATGTTGTCTCTTCTTGTATGTCATTCCTGGTTTGTTTCACTTTTGTGCGGGGCGCTTTTAACACTGTTTATTTGCTTCAACAAATTTATATTCCTTTGCTTGTGGTAAACGTCGAGTACTCATTTCATTTTTGCCAAGCAAGGCCCTTAAAGTCCCCGTCTAAAGTTTGAAAATATTTTTTTATCATTCATTTACTATTTGTTAGGACTTAAAAAGTGATTTTAGAGATTTTTGAACAAAAAATCTTTTTTGAAAAAAAAGTTGTGAGCATTTCATTTCTCACATATTCAAATTTCCCGCCATTTTTCAAAAAAAGTTGAAATTTCTTAATCATCAAATATTTCATAATACATTTCAAAAAAGATTATATTTTTAACACCAATGCAAAGATTGAACAAAAGACACACTATTTCAATAATAAAATGTCATATTTAATGGGCCACTTCAATGTTTTAGCTTATCAAAAATATTTTGAAACATTAGTGATGTCACTAAGGTAACAAAAACTTTTTGAAAAAAATTGAATTTTTTTTTTCGATGTCAATCTTTTCTAAATATGCTAGACTTTCATAAAAAACCAATGTTGATTGTCTAACCAGGTTAAAGGAAGAATAAATTATGTTTTAGATATCATTGTACTATTGGTTTCTATGAGAACTAAAATTTTGAAATGCATTTTTCTCAGAACCATTTTCATGCACTGATAAGTTCATTTCTCGCTTGTTTATCAACCGATTTTCTTAATTTTTTCGGCAAAAAACATGGGAGGATGTATGCTATGCATTGGTATGAATTGTGGCTAATTAGAAGATATGAGTGACCTCTAAAAGTTGGTTTTAAATAAATTCACAAATTTTGGAACAAAAAGTCTATCAAAAACCACTTTTTGAAATTAAAAAAAAAAGTTTCACATATCACACTTTGATAACATTGGGTAAGACTACAATATAAGCCAAAGTGGTTTAAACTTTACATGGGGCCTTTAAGCTTGTATCACCTTCCATCGCCTTTAGTCATATTATATCAACTTGAACACTCTTTCAGGCATTTACCCGCCAGTCATGTTGCGTCTGCTTCAACTCTTCAACTACGTGTTTTCCTCGTACTAATCTTCTCCTCAACTCTAGGGATATCACTATGTTAAAGTTTGCATCGCATCACTTTTCCCCTGCACTCTTTGGTGTTTTTGGCGTGCTTGGATCCTTGGTTCTATTTTTCTCTGCCTCTGTAAGATCCTTTGGAATGATTTGTGATTGTTTTTTCCATGTTTATCTATGTTCAGGGAGCTTTGTTTTCTTATGGGTACGTACGTCCCCAAGTTCTACTTATCCGTTTTCTAAAGAGCCATGCATGTCCTCTTGCAAAATTCCAGGCAAAATTTATATGAACTATTAATTGTGTGTTACTTGTACCACTGCCATAAACACGGTCACAATCATTGTTATCGGCATTACTTGGGTCATTGCTAACAGTCTCTCTTCTTTTTGAATTGTCTCCTGTATTATTACGCTATCTGAGACTAACATAACATGTCTCGGGCGCAATGACATAATTTTTTCTTTTATGGTCTTTATCTTTTTCAGATAGTGCACTCAGCTATTGAGACAATGCATTTATGAACCCGAGCACGTGTGACAAAGTTTGATTTTTCGTTCATAGATTTTTGAAACTTAGGTCATGATAATCTCGAATACTCTACATGTTGCTTACAAATACAGAAATCTTAGGATAAATACTTCCGTTGTGCTGATATCATCATAACAGCAGAATGTTTTGGGAACTGGTAGCTTTGTTTACTGTAGACATTGAAGATGCATCATTTCTTGGCATGTGGATATAAACAACTTTCGAATAAGACATCATAATGTAAAACAAGAAGAAATTGTTCACTTCCATTTAATTTTTGTAAAATTAACTGAGGCTTCTAAGATGGAAAATGTTATTAATTTAGTAATTTATCAATATTACCTTGAACTCAATGACACAATCTTAAACTTCTATGGATGTTGCAGAGTGCCAAAGTTAAACTTAGATAAAGATATCTTGCATTCAATTGAACATGTTTTATAGTAAGGACTGGTGGTAGATTTGACAGGTAAATCACATAGCCAATGGCAAGAAGTGGTTCCAAGAAAGGGGGAAGTCTAGTCTATTGAGTGACAGTATAACTTTGAATGGGGCCAAGGAGCTATCATATTCAATTAATGATGTTTTGTCTAGCTTCCATAGATTCATAAACATATTGGTATATGATGTCATTTTTATAAAACAATAGGATATGATAAATTGATGGGTGATAAGAACAAAAAGTTCATGAGAATTGTCTGAACCGAGGTTCTGGGATTAAGTTATTAATCATACCTGTCTCAAAAGTTTCAACAAAAACTGAAATAAATGGGAACTTTTCAACTTTTTAGAAAATAATGTGGGCAGAAATCTGGCATGTTGATAATTAATCTTCATATAATTTTTCACACTTCTTTCCGGCCAATTCTTGTTAATGGGTTTTTAGGGAATTTCATTGGATAAGACCCCTTATTTTGGCGGGGCCCACATAAAAAAAATTGGGTATAAAAGGGGCAATTTTGTCTGAAATCCTCGGAACCTCGTTGCGTGAACTCGGGACTAACCAAAAACTGTAAGTAGCCGATTGAAATGATATTTTTGGACTTTAACTTTTCTGTAATAAATTAATATTTTAAACTTTATTTGTTTTCATGTTTTGTAAAAGATAGAGAGACTCAACTTCGCCACACACGCTCTTTTTGGTGCTTTTTCCTATCACTATAGTCTTTTTCAATTTCAGCAGGATGCTTTCCCATCTACGAAAAGTATACAAGTTGATAAATGAACATACCTGTAAAGATTTGACGACAGAAAATGTGTGCAATAGAATTTATCAATTACGTTACCTATGGTAACGTAATTTATGACATAGAAAACGCAAGACTATAGCTTCAATTCAAATTGAATGATAGAAAAGTGTTTTTATATTCATTTTCACATTTATACTGACTGTCTTTATGCCATAGATAACATCAAATTAACACTACATCTTCGTTTTACAAGAGAGATACTATATTAGGTGTGATATATACCTTAAATTGTGTGGATTTACTCTACAAAGGTGGTAGTGTTTCTTTATTCAGATTCAAATGAATATGAATACTCAAATTTCCCGCTTTATAAACTTTATTCAGAGCTAGGAGTATGGTAACCGTTATTTTCGTACTACTAGGTATCGTAAATGATGGTGTCGTAAATGATACAAATACCCTTTTGCTGGCTGTATTATATTCAAACAATGTCAATTTAGTTAAAAATACTGATCAACAAGGATCACTCATACCATACAATAAGGTGATATAACATTAATTTGCTCAGACACTTATTGCCTGTGAAAACGATGATCACGTAAATGATTTTCTTATCTATAACTTCATGAAAAACGGGAATTATAATGTTCTGGCCCCAAAATCTCAACGTTTCAAATATCAACTTTTACGACTTTCTATTAAGTATTCAAATTGGAATCCAGATACGTATATGGCACATATGAAACATTAATTTTTCACCAGTTTTTATATGATTTATAGCACAGGGGGGTTGATATAAAAAAGTCTGGCGACATTGGTCAAGGAACAGTTTCAACATGGTAAAAATGTCAAAATGATAGTTTCTGTCATTTAACCAGAAGCTGGGATCGTCTTGTGTATAATACACCACTTTATATGGGATGTTATGCATGAAAAATGCTCTAATGGCACCATACAATCCTGATTTTTGATATGGCGACAGTCACGTGACTGATGAATAGCCCTATTCTAGTACATATAATAAAATATGTGTAACTGAGAAATCATATATTACAAACGTACTAGGTAGAGGGTCATATATACTATTTATATATACAACAAAAAGTGATGTTGGTAATGTAAATGCTGAGATTGAGCCCTGGGTCACCTATTTTGCATTCTTATTGAGAATGGGTGTACTACGGCCCGCCGTTATGACGTCACACATTTCTCGTATTACCATGGGTAGTGTTGCCGAATATTCCCTGGGTGGAATTTTGACTTTGTTCACAGTTTATAGAAGGCGTGAATACAGTCATGTTCAAATGCTTTTGTAACAACCGGGGGTCACACTCGCCTAGCCGTGACGTTACATAAAATTATGAGATGTTACAAATATACTTGAAATTTCTGTGGTAGCGTATATATGGCCTTGACTAGGGAGTGTGTTGGTTGTTATGAATTTTAATCTGCTCTACTGACAGCTAATTGTCACACTGATCTCAATAATAACATAAACTATGATTTGAATTAAAAAATATATATATCACACCCGGTGATCATGAAAATGGGACGGAGGGGGGAGCAGGCAATTTCTGCAAGAAAATTCAACAAATCTGAGAGATTTATTTTTTCAAGAAAAAGTTTACTATTAAATTGCTGAATTGATAGGCGCAAGGTATGGTAAAATATGTTAGGTCTTCTGGGTTTTTTTCTGAAACGATAGGCATCTAAGATATGAGATGAGATTTATAAAATAAGTTTCAATACGTAAAATAAAAAATAATCGAAAATAATTATGGGACGGAGGGGGAGCAATATGTATCATGTCTTAATACATATTGCTCCCCCCCTCCGTCCCAAAATTATTTTCGATTATTTTCTATTTCTCCTATGGAAACTTATTTTACAAAGTCAGCAATAACATTAATTTTGTGACGATAATGTCACTTACAAGTATTTATTACAGGTCATGTACACCATTGTTGCTTCATTTATAGCAACAAGATTGACTTTTGCACGTTGGTGCGTTGCGCCTTTTTTAATAGATCTTATACTCTAAAAGAGTATCGGTTGAAAAAAAATTTTACAATACCGTGAGCCTATTTATTTAGCAATTCAATAGTAAACTTCTTCTTTAAAAAATAAATCTTCCAGATTTGTTGAAATTTCTAGCAGAAATTGCCTGCTCCCCCCTCCGTCCCAATTCTACGATCACCGGGCGTGTATATTACGTAATCAACCATAAGTATGAAGAATATGTACAATGAGTTTTTACAATGAAACTAAGGTCTTTCAGATGGTATATCAAACAAGATACTGTAAATAACAAAACAGTTTTCAATCTTATTACCAATCTGACCTTATATAGACTAATACACACAACTACTTCATGTAGATGCTCAACAACACTAGTGCCACCTTTTGGCAAATATTCAAACTGATAAAAGTACACACATGGCTATGAATATATATCTTCAACTAAAACCTTGCAGGTTTAGTATGCTACCCTAAACTGGTAATATTCACAGAACGAAAGGAGACATAATTCTGAATATATCTGATTGGAATCAACGATAGCAACTAAGAAATGATGTAGATTCTCAATGTTTGCAAAATTAGGTCACTTTACTTAGCGGTCTATTTCTGTTCAAAACTAACTTCCTTACCCTATTTAACTTGATTTATCTTATCCTAGGCCATTTACTGTTAACATAATCATATCCTTTCCTATCTTAGGACCTTAAGTCCTACATTTAAGACGATTATAATTCGCACAATATAAAAATGTCAATCTCCTAAATTCTCCGCTTTTCTAAGACGTACTCTGATTGGCTAATCTAAACTGGGCTGAAGTTTTTGGCACCAAATTCAAAAGTTATAAAAAGTTTAAATGACCTTTAAACCTTACAATAAATTGAAATAATAGAATTAACATTAACAGATATATGAAATAATTAAACTGGGCATGAAATATAAAACCCAGGTTTGTTACACTTTTTAGTGAAATATCAGAATTTCCTGGAGTTTTCTGCCGTGAAATGATATTTTTCTGTAATCGGAGTAGCTACTGACAAAATACCACTTCTGGTGCAAAAATGGGGTGATTAGGGGCAAGTGGCTGGAGTTAGGATGGTGGGAATGTTGTTAATCATTTCAAAAATTGCTTGAAAATCAAAACTCAAAACACGCTAGTGGTAGGGTCAACCATGTTATGAAAAATACATTGTTCGCATTAGGGATAACTTTTTCAAAAATGTATATATGAAATATGTATGTGCCTTAAAATCGATTTAACAGATTCATCAACGTTGAACAAGTGGTAATTAAGTTCTTAATGTTTTGAATCCAAGAGCAAATTCAATTCATATTTTGTTTCAGATAAATTCAGAGCTGCAACACTATGTGGAATACAATACAATCCATACTCTATCAATGTATACCCAGCAAATGTAAGGGTAGAGTAACCCAGAGTAGAAACAATGAACTTTACTAAATCAACATGCCAGCTCATGGTGACAAAGTAGTCACCTATCACGATTCACGACATTGCCCTTTAGTAAATATCATTGTCGTGAAATATCAACTGCATGTTATTGTTTTAATAAAAACCTGGTACAACATAGCTTATACTTCGTATTATATTGTTGTCGACAATTGATCAAGACTAACCAAACCTCAAACTCAGTCGCCAGTAAAGAATTACATCAGATTCAACACAAGGAGCAGTTAGAAGATGAGGGTTAGCATCACTTGCAGTTTGGTTATTTTGGCTTTATGTTGCTTTGCTACGTACTCCATTGGTGAGGCGTGCTGTTGTAGGTGCTGCAATCAGTGTCAGGTAGGTAGACTTTCAATTAAACATACAACACTTCGAATTACTCTACACTTGGCAGTACATGACTGAGTTTTGTAAATTCGGAGAACTAACTTTTTTGTATTAGTTGACTAAAGGATGAAAGATTTCCTTTAGGTTATATAAGGATTTTGAAGGTCAGCCTGGTCCCTCTCATGTTGATATATATTTCAGGCCAGTTGTAATTCAAATGCAGAGAAATCCCATGTAAAAACTACATACATAAGATGGGGGAGAACGTCATGTCCAGATGGAGCAGCTATTGTCTATACAGGTTAGCTTGAACTCAAGAAACAAACCAATTTAGGTTCATTCACGTTGCATTTGATTTCAAATAAAAGTTTTCTCTTGGTCCACGTGTCCATTATGTACTGAAAGAAAACCAATCATTCTGACCCATTAATTATGCTATAAAATCAACACTTCAGCTTTCGAATCCGGCATTTTGGCATATAAATGAATAAACAATACATGAATCATACTTCTAATGTAAAAATATCAAGATCAAAAGCTGTTCAATTTAACCAACAGTGCCTCCTAAATTAAAAACTACCTCGCCAGAATTTTACAGAAATTTCTTTTTATGGTTGTTGGCCTGTTTGTCACAGTCAGTTGCAGTTTAATTTGAGCAAGCCCAAAACAGCTTGTATAAACAAAATATGAATCACGAAAATGATTTTGACTTGCCGTAATCAAACTACACTTGACCGTGGGATTTGTTGAAAAAACATGGACTGGGCACTTAAGGTACACCTGGAAAATAACATTTTTGGAAAAAATTCCTTTATCTGCACATGTTATTTTCTGGTACAAAATTAAAGGGACAAAGTGCTTAAATGAAGTCTCACTTTTGATCTTCAAAGTATTTCCAATAGATGAATAAGTACCTGATCTTTCATTTGACACCAAAAATAGCTCAAACAGACCACATCAGACTTAATTGACACTAGATCATGAAAAAATATTTTTGATCTATCAATTTATATGTGTCAAGTTTTTAGCAATGCCATAGAAAGATGGCATTGTTGTTTGCATTGATTATCCATTCATTTTTGATTGGATTTTCAAGCATACGCCATCTTTTAATCCAAGAGTTATTTAAAACATACATTTTGTGAAAAGTAGTAATTCACTTTTTTCAATCTCTGAACTTCAAATGCCATTTTCTATGTGAATAATTTTTTTTTCACTTCAGTATTATCCCAAATTAAAGTTTTTATCATATTTGATTGACTGTGTGAGTGACATGTCTCAAATAATATTTTGTCCTTTTTCCTTCAAAAATAGGCGCATTGCCTGTTTAAGTATGAAGGCATGTGTGTATTTCCCTCCTTTTTCAGGAAAGTATCATTACTTTTAGTAAACCTGGAAACAGGTCAATGGTAGCTCATGTGTTGTCTGGAAACTTCAAAAGAATATTTGGAAAAATAGAAAGCGTGAAATATCAGAATTTCTTGAAGTTCCCATTGATCTCTTACCAGATTTACTAAAACTAGACAATGTAACGATACTTTCCTGAGAAAAGCAAGTAAATTAACACATACTTTCATACTTTACTTTATGCCAGAAAATAACACGTACAGGTTATTTTATTCCAAAATGTTATTTTCCAGCTGTACCTTAATCTTTCAAAAGGGATCTGGAAAAGTATTGAAAAACGGGTACACATGCATGAAAATCCTTATCATCGACATTTGAATCTTTGTATTTTGGGCGGTTTTGCTGATGTTACATGCATTTTTGGGAAGTCACTAAACCCTTTTTTGACATATATGTCTTATTGAAGTATGATATTATCTATTATTATTATTATAAGCTCATTTTACCTCAACATATTGAGATTCTCGCCAAGTTTTGGATCCTGGCTACGCCTCTGTGCTAGCTTCTGCTAACCGTTTATCAACCAAGCTGTTCAACACTTCATTTTAGGTATAGCCGGTGGTTCAAGTCATGTAGAGACAGGAGGTGGTTCTAACTATCAATGCCTTCCTACAAACCCACAGTGGGGAAGGTACACCAGTGCAAAAAGTAAATATTCTGCTTTAATGTATGGAGCTGAATATCAGTTTGAAACAGCCAGTGGACATCCAAACCCTTTTGATGGTGACAATGCACCTACCCCTGGTGACAGAGAATCACTTTACGAAAGTGATGTACCATGTGCTGTGTGTTCAGTACCTCGTTCAACGTCTATCATGATCCCAGCTTGGAAGACATGTCCAGATGCATGGCATTTCGAATACACTGGTTACCTTGTATCAGAGTATGCAAAACACGGCGGTAGAAGGACATTTGAATGCATGGATGCAGCGCCAGAGGGAGTGCCGGGTAGTGGGGCTAATAAGAATGGTGCATTATTTTATGCTGTGGAAGCATCTTGTGGGTCCTTACCTTGTCCAAACTACAAAGATGGGGCAGAGTTGACGTGTGTGGTCTGCACATCTTAAACACATGATATACAATGTATTCTATCCAAAGTGAATAAAAAAATCATGAGCACTATAAGTATAATGCATTGTTAAGTGGCTGTTTTATGTCATCACCAAGAAATGGTGACATATTGTTACAGCCTCCAACGTTAAACATATAGCATAAGAGATTCAGCATATGTAACAGCTGTTACACTTTTGTAACAATCTGCAATTATTGTCTTACTGTCGACAGTCCGGCATTTAGCATAGGTTACTTGGTCTTTGTAACAATTAGCAATTATTAAATGTTAAGTATCGACTATATCAACAGAATAATTTCAATTTATATTACCATGGCAAAGCATTATGGGAATAAAATGAATTGCTAAGGCTTTATCATATTAGGCTATGTAAAAGTAAATAAACATACAATTAATTAAATTTTATACTTTTATTTGGTATTTATGACTACTATATAATATAATACAGTAGCGTATAACTCTACATAACATTCTGTGTGTGGTTTCCAGACAACAGAAAGTAACATTATGTTACAATTACATGGGGCTGCATGAACACAGGATTTATGACTAAAAATTCAGGCAAGATCTCAGATTGAATTGGAAATACATTTCACCACACATTTTATTGGAGGTTTGAACATAAGAACTGTTATTAAGAGTTGCTTGCCTGCATTGCTGCCTCTACAGTACTGTTTACTACTGTATTGTTTACAACAGTAATGTTTGCCACTGTACTGTTTACTTATCACCAGATATACCTTACTCTAACAATAACATCACAAAAATAAGTTAACATTCTTACTATCCAATGAAATTATACCTTCTTTTAAATAAATATCAGGGTGTTTCTTTGGGTAAAACTATATCCATGGACATTTTGAACTCTTTCCTTAAATCATTGAATTTGATCCACTTTACCTATGGGTCTACTGGATTAACAGACAGACATAGATGGAAAGAGATCGATTTTAGTCACCATGGTAATATGCCTACCCTCACCCTTTGCTACCTCATTCTTGTATTGTTTTTTACATAAATATACACCATGTTTCAAACATACAATATAGTTGTATAAATTCATTAAAATGTGAACATTTATTAGCTTATAATAAGTATACTGTGATTACTGTACTTTGTATCCATTGCTCGCTCCACTTGGCAATTGTTGCTATGACAACAAATTATATAAAAATAAAATATTCAAAAATCATAAAACTGTTCGTGAATCTGTAAACATAAAACAACAAACGGTTGTAATGATGTCTTCTAAATTGTTCATTTTTGTATTAAACAAATATTGTGTCAAACAAAAGAGAAATCATAAACAGCTAAATAACTTTTAAAATTCTGCTTATGTTATGTACATGTACAATAAATGAGTTTTGTATATTGTCTTGCTGATTGTATAGCACAACTGTACAATGATCATGCACTATTAATTTAATAGCAACTGAAACCAGTGTCACTTTAATGCCTTGGTCACATTTGCTCCGATTTTCACTACGGCGCCCGGCCGATTGAGTATTTTGTTCAAAATTGAATACAATATTGAACAAAACACTCAATCGGCCAGGCGCCGGCCGATGGATCGGAGCATATGTGACCCAGGCATTAATGAGTAAAATAAAATAAAAGTGAAAATGTTGAAATTAATTTTTTGCTGAGTTGGCGTTTAAGACAATGATTTGTTCGAAAGTTCTAGATTTTGTTCATTAAAATAATACTTGTTACTGTTTTGCACAATTTTTAAGAAACTTTTGACTGTATATTTTCATTCTCGATAAGCCAATAGATTCGGTACATTTTCCTGTTTCAATACCTCATATTATTTGGATACCAAGTCATCAAGAAGAATCCATAGCTGGAGCTCAAGAATAGACTTTGAGAATTATACCAATCGATAATTTTAGTGACTTACAAAATATTTCTTCTATGAAGCCTTGAGAAGCTCCACACTTGATCTTATGTACATTCTGCCTACACATTTGTCGACAGTATATTGCATGGCAACCTGTTGCCTTTTGTTGCTAAAGCAACATGATGAAATCAGTTGCCATGGCAACATGGCTTTCTAACTTACCTTTGGAAAAGTATTTTGGCTAATTGTGTTCAAGATTGAATTATTTGCAAAATACTATCCAGAAAAAGAAGTTATGATATGACTTTAATTGCCATGACAACTATTTTCTCCCATTTAGATGCTATGGCAACCTCTGTTTTACATATTTTAAGCACCAGTCGAAATTATGGAAATCTATTTACAAAAGTGAGAGAGAAATGGGTAAGATCATAGCAAGAACTGTTTGCAATATTTTCACATAGTTTTTTACAAAAACATTATACTGTTAGTCATTTAATGTTTAGGATACTATTTTAACTATCCATATCAAAAGAAATAATATCATATTCATTCAGTTTTGCTGTTTTAGTCATGGTTTAAACTAAATGGGCTATGTCAAATGATGAGCACTTTCTAAAATTGTTGGCTTCAATGGGAGGAAGGTAAAAATTGAGATGCATAAACTAAAAATATATTGAGAAAAAATAGATGAATTGTGAAGGTGAATTTAACAAAAATGATAAATTTAATTACAATGAAATATATCTAAGTGTTTACAATTTTGTACCATTACAGGGATGGATTGTCTTTGAATAAAGTAAACCACTTTAAAAAGTGCTCAATTTTTGACACATACATAATTCTATAATGATTTATGATATGACATAAACTAATAATTAAACTAAATGTTGTATCAGTCAGCAGTTATGTTAGGTTTGATGTCACACACTTGTATGTTCATATCAAACTCTTGTATGTTGGTATCACACACTTGTTTGTTAATATCACATACTTGTAGGTTCATATCAAACTCTTGTATGTTGGTATCACAAACTTGTTTGTTAATATCACATACTTGTATGTCCATCTCAAACTCTTGTATGTTGGTATCACACACTTGTTTGTTAATATCACATACTTGTATGTTCATATCAAACTCTTGTATGTTGGTATCACAAACTTGTTTGTTAATATCACATACTTGTATGTCCATATCAAACTCTTGTATGTTGGTATCACAAACTTGTTTGTTAATATCACATACTTGTATGTCCATATCAAACTCTTGTATGTTGGTATCACACCCTTGTTTGTTAATATCACATACTTGTATGTTCATATCAAACTCTTGTATGTTGGTATCACACACTTGTTTGTTAATATCACATACTTGTATGTCCATATCAAACTCTTGTATGTTGGTATCACACCCTTGTTTGTTAATATCACATACTTGTATGTTCATATCAAACTCTTGTATGTTGGTATCACAAACTTGTTTGTTAATATCACATACTTGTATGTCCATATCAAACTCTTGTATGTTGGTATCACAAACTTGTTTGTTAATATCACTCTAGTACGTTGATATCACATACTTATATGTTGGTATCACACTCATGTATGTTGGTATCACACACTTATATGTTGATATCACACTCATGTATGTTGATATCACACTCTTGAATGATACTAATGGCACTACATTTATACTTATGTCCAGTACTACATGTTCTAGAGGTCTGAATTTTTGAATAATAACAAACAAATGAAAAAATTCATATTTTTATAAACTGAATTTTTAAATGCATACTCCATTTTACGCTGAACATGTTTTCCTTCATAAATGTATGTGATGAAAGTCTTACTTTGGTTATTTAGATAATGTAAAAATTAGCAAATCTCAAATAAGGCACTTGAATAATGGCAGAAAATGATAATGGTTATTGCCCAGAAACTAGTCATAGAGTTCATACACGATAACATTATGAATATGACCTTTGTGATGTTTTAAATAGGACTGGAAGTAAGATAAAGTAAACACTACAGGATCATTTGTTCAAACTATCAGCTGCAAAAATGCTTTGTATACATGGCATGCACATATATAAATATATCACATGTATATATCATATTTAACACATTAATACAAAGAGTTTCATTAGCAACAGATTGTATCTTCCCAAAAAATAGAATGTTTTTGAGAAATTTTGTTAATGTTTCCATGTTAAAATCAAGATGTCAAATAAGTGTGTCCATTCGTATTACATATTCTAATGAAACTCCGGTATGTACATACTGTAGTGATTGGTATCTGTAACTTTTCACAAACAAGTATATGTCTCATACATATATAAATGGACTCAAATAATGGTTCCATTGTCCAAACGATGGATACGATTATCTCAAATATGATTTTGAGAACTACCAAGAAATGACTTGGCCCACTGGTTATGAAATTAAATTATTGATTATATGCGTGATATTTACAGAGTACATATCGCATCAAGACCTTGGACAGCTAAATTCAAATAACAAAAAAAAAATTATACTTATGATGCTTTTACAATAAACTTTCATCAAGTAAATTTTACTTATTCATTGATACTATGACACAAAATTAAGTTGGAAAACATCTTTGGCATTTTCTGTTGCACTTCTTTATAATATTATGCCATATACCAGGAATTTCAAAATTATCACTATTTCATACAGATTACCACAGTTTCATCGAAATTCATCAATGCTAGACTTCATATAGAATGTATGCGTAAAAATATTGCTTTCATTTTTCAGTCATTAATTCAAAATATTGGCACATGTGATCTGAACGTAGCTGGCAGGTCTACATGGAAGCAATTTACATAAGCATTTATGTACAATTGAGTAGCTTCACTGGTATATGGACAATTCATGTACATTGTTTCATCTACATATGTACAATATTTACAATCTGTCAGCTTGAGGAAACACATACTACATTAGATCAACTCTTACTGGCTATTAAACTTTCAAATAATTAATTGAACAAATCAAGTTCAGAGACGAGATCTTTGGACCAAAAAAAGTCAGTCAGTCAGTCATCAACATAAAGATGGCCCATTTAAGGAACTATTTACGCTGACATATCTTCAGTAATGCTTCCTAGAACAACCACAGTGTCTGTATTGCACGCTGTTGTGGTAATCCAACATCTCTGTCATATGAACACATATCTCACTAGGAGACCCTCCTCAAGGGACCCTCCCATTGTTTAAGGCACTAGATGATAAATGATAAATATAATCACTTGTCCCCACCACGTATTATAAAGACGTTACATCTTTATAACAAAATGGATGTGATAATAAAAAGTGATAATAAAACTGAAATCATGTTCTTCCTTCCTGAACACATTATTTTCTGTGCAATTCACACATGATTTGGTGACACTTTGTCTACACTGAACAAAGCGTGATTTGATCATCCGTTAGATCAACGGGATCTAAGAGATCTAAAAGATCACACAGTTGATTCATGACTACTGGAAGTGGAACTTCCAACTGACATGGACGAATATTGACTGTCTGAATAAGTACTGAGGGGGCTCTCTAGTGGTTCCTGGGTCTCGTGACTCAGAGGCTCGTGTAGGTCCAGATACTCCTGAAAAGAAGATGTCATATTACCTTTAATTGACATTTACAAATCATGTTTTGATCAACATATGTCTTATCATTAATCTGATCTGTTTTAATTGGAATAATATTGTCAAAGAACCATGTTAAACCTACGGAAAATTGTTGTTTTTGAATAATGTAAAATATTGGAATATCTTTATCAGAACATTTTAACTATGAAAACTCCTATTTCCAATACAGTTGTAAACACAGAAATCATGATGTCAAAGAGAACAATAGATTAGAACTATTAACTCCACTAATTCTTCTGGTATAGCACACCAGCATTGCAGGGGTTAATGACTTACCTCTGGTACTGAGAGGGTTAATATACGGTCTAGGTTCTCCACAAGGTCAGAGAAGGTCGGCCTGTAGCCTGGCTGCTGGGCCCAACAGTCAAGCATGATGTTGAACCTGAAGTAGACATCATAGATATTATTACTTTATATTTGTTTTGAAGTAATATAGTAACTCAAGAAATTCTTTCTTTGTTTCATTTCAGCAGCAATTTTATTTCTGGTAATTTTTGAAGGTTCTGTCAATACACATGTATAATATTCACTGTTTAAGGCCTACTTACACTTCAAGGGAACAATATGGTGGTTTTTCCATCCGATGGCCCTCTCTTAGAAGCTTGAAGAGGTCCTCCACTGGGACTGAGGGGTAGGGATTACCTCCTAGGGTGAAGATCTCCCATAGGAGAACACCATATGACCATCTAGAAGAGAAATTGAGGATTTGTTTCATTTTATTCTTATATACAAGTTTCATCAGCATATGACCATGTAAAAGAGAAAAAGATTTCTTACATATCAATTTTTCTGCCATTTCCTCTCATGTTATATTTAAATTGCCTTCATTCTTACACTGTATTATTGCACACGATTAGGTAATGTAAAAAACAAGACCTCATATAAAATATGAGTTACCTAGAATTACGGTTAAACAATAATCACTCAGTTCCGCATCACTTAAACAAACTCTACACAATGCTGACTGGGATTTGCATTACTAAGACTGAATATACATGTACTTACACATCACTTTTTGATGTATACTTTTTATCGAACAGTGCCTCAGGGGCCATCCACTTTACTGGGAGTCTCCCCTATAAAATAGAATAATATTATGATTTACTTATTATTATTTTCACATTATATGATTACCTCAGCATGTTTAACTTTATTAATTTACATAAACTATTAAACATATCTAAAACAGAACTACATGTACATAACAAATGCATTGCATGACTACAACGTTAAGCTCTAATGTTAATACTTGGTTGGCTAAATTGGAGGAACATGACTGGGGCATTTATATTTGCATGTTCTTTGTCCATAAAACATAAGTCCCTCTCCCAAGATGCAACATATATCATCTCATCTTATCATTTTATCGACCTGTATCTCAGGTAATTGATACATCAAGGTATATTTTTATATAGATAATATTTAACATAAATATAAACCAGATTCTTACATCAGTGGTTTTTTTGTAATAGTCAATGTTCTGTATATTGCGAGTCAGCCCAAAATCGGCTATTTTCAGGACATAGTCTTCAGTTACAAGGACATTTCTAGCTGCCAAGTCTCTGTGTATACACTGAAATAGGAAAAACACAATGGAATGTAGAAAAATACAAAATTCTGATTAACAACTTTATAAAAAACTTAAAATTCTACTTATTTTTTCAGAAAACCATACATTTGGTATCTTTTGATATTTTTGTGGTATAATATTTGCCTATTTAGTTATACACCGACTGCTCTTATATTAAAGGTGAGTATTTGTAGACTGAATAACAAAATTAATATTTGGATGGTAAAAAATCAATTTAGTCAGTTGGATTTTATAATCCAAGGTAAGCCTTTTTGTTCAAGAGGAGGGATGTCTTATTAGAATGTGAAAATATATTTACCAATTTGGAGCCAAGATACTCCATGCCTCTGGCTATTTGATAGGCAAAGGAGAGCAGGTCTTTGTGCAGTAGTGGTTTAGCATCGATGCTGACTTGCTCCTGCCACTGTGATATCATAGGTTTTTCATAACCAGAGTTAGGCGGACGTCTGCTACGCAAGAAGTCTCTCAGGTTACCGTTTGGAGCAAACTCAACTATTACATACAGTGGACCTAGAGGGTAAAACATTTTTAATTAATTCTTAGTTTTGTATTACAGTATTTCCATAACATAGATATGCTCCATTACAAATATTAAGGTTGTCAACAATCTGCTCAAATAACAGGTATTCATAGATGAATTACACTTAAGGATATGCTTGTCTATATTATCACCACTCTGATGATACAAATCGTTGGTGTTCCAAAAGTAGGAAATATTAAAGAGTTTGCCAAACCAAAATATATTACAGATACATATGGTACATTATAGTAGCACTCAAACTTACCATCTTGTGTACAACATCCCAGTAAGTTTATAATATTAATATGTCTGCCAATCACTTTCATAACTTCCATCTCTCGGATCAAATCTGTCACTTCGTGATCTGTGGCATCGTGTTTTAATGACTTTATGGCCACTGTTGTTGTCGTAGTCTTGCCACCTATGCCAACTGCCTCCCCTTGGCGAACAATACCAAATGCTCCTTCTCCTAGTATCCTCCCGAGGCTTAGTCTGAAAAGGCGATAATATTTTAGAAAAAATGAGACATGACATGTCAAAATGTGAAATCCTGCATCAATAACAACTATACAACAATTCGCTTTGTGATCTGTTTCAAGAAATGGTGGCTTTAACTTTAACAAGTATATGGATATAATTTTGGGACTCTGGGCGATTAGTTTGCACATAATACCAGCAACAAGACAAAGGGTCTATCTGATACAAGTAAGGGACATGTCAAATCACCAAAGGCAACAAGGAATAAGTATAAAACTGGTCACAAGAGTGATATACCCATCATACACTTACTTTTCTCGAGGGAATTCCCAAGCTGGGTCAACAGGGATCTGGTACTCTGAGACTGTGGTGAGTTCTGATGATAATCTATTGCGATGGTCTTTCCTAATGATCACCCTTGGCACAAGAGGTGTCATGGAATTCCCAGAATCCTTGAAATAGTTTGGATAGAGGTCATTCTGCAAATAGAAATACGAGCACATGTATATTACAATTACAACATACTTTTTATCAACAGATTATAATTTAAAATGAATACACATATAGTGCTGTCCCCAGCTCCGATTTCGGTGATCGCCTAGTAGAAAAGGTTTGAGGGTATCATTTTGTTCCAGACACTCTCTAGAGTAAATTATCCTAACTTGAGTAAAAATGTGTGGTAAGTAAATTCGCTATGGGCAGTTAAAGAGGCGCCATCTATTCATTTTAAAACAGGGGGTAGGGGTATAAAATAATTTTTAACACATCTTAATAGCAAAATGACATTGAAATACTAATAAAATCTTATCAAAAACATTATTTACAATCAGTATGAATTTTTTTGTGTGAATTAGGGTGAAAATAAGGGCATATTTTGAAATTCACTACAGGGGCGCCACCTATTTTCATACTTCTACCACGTGTAATAACTTATTTTAGATTCGTTAAGGTACGAAATGTACTGAAAAAATTCATTCTGAAGGACCTATATATGTTCATACCACATACTTAAAATTGGATCAATAGCTTTTGTACCTGGGGAGAAAAAAATTCTTGAAATTTAAAATTGTGGCATCATGCAGGATAGGGGTGACCATATCTCACATGATTAACTTCCAAAATATGGAGCATATGTATCTCAAATGTACTCAAAATGGTGCATGTACTCTTGCTTTGTCATAATATTACTAATAAGAAGTAGAAAAATGATTGTACAATTTAAAAAAATATTAATTCTCATTTTGGCTTCTGACGTCCCAGGGGTGACCATATCTCACCTTAATAACTTCCAAAATATGGAGCATATGTATCTCAATTGTGCTCAAAATGGTGTATGTACTCTTGCTATGTCATAATATTACTAATAAGAAGTAGAAAAATGATTGTACATTTTAAAAAATATTAATTCTCATTTTGGCTTCTGACGTTCCAGGGGTGACCATATCTCACCTTAATAACTTCCAAAATATTGAGCATTTGTATCTCAAATATACTCAAAATGGTGTATGTACTCTTGCTTTGTCATAATATTACTAATAAGAAGTAGAAAAATGATTGTACAATTTAAAAAATATTAATTCTCATTTTGGCTTCTGACGTTCCAGGGGTGACCATATCTCACCTTAATAACTTCCAAAATATGGAGCATATGTATCTCAAATGTGCTCAAAATGGTGTATATAGTCTTGCCTTGTCATAATATTACTTATAAGATGTAGAGAAATGATTGTACATTTTAAAAATATTAATCTTCATTTTAGCTTCCGACGTTCCAGGGATGACCACTGACCATATCTCACCTTAATAACTTCCAAAATATGTAACATATGTATCTCAAATGTACTCAAAATGGTGTATATAGTCGTGTCTTGTCATAATATTACTAATAAGATGTAGGAAAATGATTGCACATTTTTAAAAAATATTAATTCTCAATTTGGCTTCTGACGTCCCAGGTCTGACCATATCTCACCTTAATAACTTCCAAAATATGGAGCATATGTATCTCAAATGTACTCAAAATGGTGTATGTACTCTTGCTTTGTCATAATATTATACTAATAAGAAGATTATACATTCAAAAAATTTTAATTTTAGCTTCTGACATCCCTCAATAACTTCTAAAATTATGTAACATATACAACTCAAATATACCAAAAATGGGGCATATGGTCTTGCTTTGTCATAATATTATTCATGAGATGTAGAAAAAATTATTAGACCTTTTTTGAATTGAAATTTTCATTTTAGCATCCGAATCTGACATCCCAGGGGCAACTATATCTCACCTTGATATAACTCTCACGATATGCAACATATGCATCTCAAATGTGTGCCCAAAATGGTATAAATATAGTCTTGTTTTGTCATTTATTGAGATTCATGAAATCAGAAGTTCAGAATTTATGGATTGGACTGTCTCCCCTGCAGGCTTCAGCTACATATAGTCCAGAGACATTAAGATCTACTTTCAAATATTTGCATCTTCTCCCCAAACACTCCTTATATTACAGGAACAATGGACGATAAGTCTTTTGCATGCCTTGGATGCAACATCTTTTGTATACTGGTAGCCTATCAGTAGTGTGAGTAGCCTAGCCTCATTTACCAAAATTGGCCCCTTAACCCCAAATCTGACCCGAAATTTTGAAAATATCCTGAAAAATTAGGCCTAAAAGGCGCATTTATGCCCAAACATACACCAAACTGTCCCACTGCTAAATTACAAGGGCGATAAGTCGCTTCTAATCCTGATTGACATTCTCTAGTTTGCATGGTTTGTCATGTTGTGCTATATTGTTATTGCCCAATCTCAACAGTTGTATTCACTGTATGGCCTACCGTGCCAAGAATAATGCAATTGTTCCAAAAGCTAAGCTCTTCTTTGGGACCCTAGAAGTGTGGGACATCACAATCATAGATTAATATTTCATTACAATCAATGTATGTTGTATGACAAACATGCAAACTAGTGAATGTTAATGTGGCTAGAAAGATTTATCATTACAAAGAGCTCCTTTTCCCGTATTTTACATACTCAAAATCCCTTAATTCAGTGTATAATCCAAGGTGCATATATTGCAGGCCACAGGATAACATATTAACACCTTACATTAGCAGTTGCCATTACTTCATGAATGGAGTAAAGTACTCCCACTATTGACAGGCTAAAAGGATTCCTGTATGGATTACAAAAGATGTTGGATCCAAGGTATGCAAGGGAATAATCTCATCCATTGTACTTGTAAAGGGTGTTTGGGGAGCAGATGCAAATATTTGAAAGCAGATATTATTTGCCCTGAATTATATGTAGCTGTAGAGGAGACAGTCAAAATCCATTGATTCTGAACTGTTGATTTTATGATTCTCAATAAATATGACAAAACAAGACTATATTTATACCATTTTGAGCACACATTTGAGATGCATATGTTGCATATCGTGAGAGTTATCAAGGTAATATGAAAAAGACAGGATGAGGATTATATGTTACATACAGTATCTTAGAAGTTATTATTATTATTATATGGTGCGATATGATTACCCAGGAACGTAAGAAGCTAAAATTAAAATTTTTGAAATGTATAATCATTTTCTACTTCTTATTAGTAATATTATGATAAAAAAGCAAGAGTACATACACCTTTTTGAGTACATTTGAGATACATATGCTCCATATTTTGGAAGTTATTAAGGTGAGATATGGTCACCCCTGGGACGTCAGAAGCCAAAATGAGAATCAATATTATTCTAAATGTACAATTTTTTTTTTTACTTCTTATTAGTAATATTATGACAAAGCAAGAGTACATTCACCATTTTTAGTACATTTGAGATACATATGCTCCATATTTTGGAAGTTATTAAGGTGAGATATGGTCACCCCTGGGACGTCAGAAGCCAAAATGAGAATCAATATTTTCTAAAATGTACAATCATTTTTCTACTTCTTATTAGTAATATTATGACAAATCAAGAGTACATACACCATTTTGAGTACATTTGAGATACATAAGCTCCATATTTTGGAAGTTATTAAGGTGAGATATGGTCACCCCTGGGACGTCAGAAGCCAAAATGAGAATCAATATTTTTTAAAATGTACAATCATTTTTCTACTTCTTATTAGTTATATTATGACAAAGCAAGAGTACATACACCATTTTGAGTACATTTGAGATACATATGCTCCATATTTTGGAAGTTATTAAGGTGAGATATGGTCACCCCTGGGACATCAGAAGCCAAAATGAGAATTAATATTTTTTAAAATGTACAATCATTTTTCTACTTCTTATTAGTAATATTATGACAAAGCAAGAGTACATACACCATTTTGAGTACATTTGAGATACATATGCTCCATATTTTGGAAGTTAATCATGTGAGATATGGTCACCCCTATCCTGCATGATGCCAAAATTTTAAATTTCAATAATTTTTTTCTCCGCCAGTACATAAGCAATTGATCCAATTTTAAGTATGTGGTATGAACATATATAGGTCCTTCAGAATGAATTTTTTCAGTACATTTCATACCTTAACGAATCTAAAATAAGTTATTACACGTGGTAGAAGTATGAAAATAGGTGGCGCCCCTGTAGTGAATTTCAAAATATGCCCTTATTTTCACCCTTATTCACACAAAAAAATTCATACTGATTGTAAATAATGTTTTTGATAAGATTTTATTAGTATTTCAATGTCATTTTACTATTAAGATGTGTTAAAAATTATTTTATACCCCTACCCCCTGTTTTAAAATGAATAGATGGCGCCTCTTTAACTGCCCATAGCGAATTTACTTACCACACATTTTTACTCAAGTTAGGATAATTTACTCTAGAGAGTGTCTGGAACAAAATTATACCCTCAAACCTTTTTTACTAGCCGATCACCGAAATCGGAGCTGGGGACAGCACTAATATCAATCCTCTTACAAAAAAAATATGAGTAACAATAAAGTGAAAACAAGGCATTAACATGCAAAATGTCACCACCTGCCATTGTTGTTGGAGACCATAACAATATGTGGAGTGGTGACAAAACAAGAGACTAATTTCCAGGATATGTATGGAAATCATTTAACAGAAAATGATTTTACATATAAAATCTGCTTGCATTATGCAGATTGAAAACTGCCAGCAAAGAAGTCTTCATATTTACCTGTCTCATAAGTACAACTCGTTTCTTGATGGGCCTGCTCTGTTGCTTGTCGAAACGACGCTTGCAACAATAGCATCCTATCCCTCCAAAAACTGCCATTAAAAAGAGCGATCCCATCGCAGCTGCTATAGGGACAACCAATGAGAGGTTCGGATTATGAGCAGATAGATAAGGCCTTGATTCGGATGCTGTAGTTGGAGGTGGTCCTGAAATAACAAATCAACAATTAATTAAGCAATCAATGTGTTAATCAATCAACAGAATAAAAATTTTGTGTAGTCGAAAAAATCTAAATAAAACATTTCCGAAAAATATGCATTCTTATTTAAGTGTAGAGTAGTACAAACCTTCAAGCACCGTCAACCAAGCACTTGCATGAATCCAGCCTTGAGAATTACCCAGAATGCATGAGTACCAACCAGCATCAGCCATGGTTACATTCTCAATGATCAGTTCTTGTGGATTGGTCACGTTCATATGGTTACTCACCTAGAGAAGAAACATTTCAATACATGCAATACAGTGTAGAATCGTTTCATATAATCATATACTATAAGACATATTTCAACTGAATGGTTTAATACATAAAAAATAACTCAAAATATAACCTACAGCTTAAGAGGTCTATGTCTCTTAAATAAGGATTTATGCTTCAAGTTTTTTCAGAAATAGTATGAAAAGCTTTCCCATATGTCATGAAAAATATATATAATCTGCAATTGACTATACAAAACATTTTTTGTAATCATTATTTCATGCAATGAAGAATCTAATCTAAATCAGGATAACATTTTGATATTTGTTCAATACAAATATAATTAGTGAATTCAGATCATCATGGGGATTTCACAAACAACATGCAATGAGTCCATGCAAGGAGAGTAATTTTGGTGCATTGGGAAAATATATGCGAGTAACATGTGGTCAGCTCAACACAATGTCGTCATTAATGTCTCATGCTTAATGGATCAATTTAAAGATACATTTCTAAATCTTGTGAGAAGCATCAATCAGTAAAAACCCTGTATGATAATGTATTACCAATACAGCATTGGGGCTATTTACTTTAAGAAATATGTACTTGACCTTAGCCTTATACCCTGGAATGCAAGGTAGATATGAACATGAGTATGGAATATGGTAAAATGAACGAGAAATGCTTTTATTAAAGATAATCATTAAATATATAAAAGCATAGAATGTTCCAAGCCAATAATAACAAAATGAGACCAATTTTAAGCCACCACCATAAATATCTTTTTATGATTTTTTAAATATTTTTTTCCCACCTTGCTAGTACCGATGATGTAGATATGCGGTTTGTCCCCATCGTAGAAATAGGATCCATTAACCTTGAAGTGTTTCACCCAGTTAATTGCAGGACGCGGCTTACTGTGGGACTTAGCCGTAAACTTGGCAGTCTGACCGACATAAACCGTCAAGTTCTTGGGAGTTTCGTGGAAGTATGGTTTGTGTGGATGTACAGCTGTTAATAGACAAATACAACACTAAACCTAACAACATGCATACTGGGTACTATAAACTATAGGGGATAGCTGTTGCTATTGTAAGTTGTGGTCACTAAGGTAATAGGGAATATAGGATTCAAAAACAAATATGGGGTTGGTCATGCAGTCAACTAGGACATCTATAGTCACTGATACACACTGTTAGTACATGTTATTCCTGAAATAAGAAAAATAACTTAGAATCATATAATTTACTTGAGTCAAGCTTACAGCTAGAAGTGTGTGCATTGTTATTACAATCCCAATGTAACTTGAAACAAACATTTCTTCCAGCTTTCATCATTTTATAATAATATTATCCAATAAGGCTGTAAATTGTTTTTAAGGTGATATATACATTTAGTTGCTTACAGTGAATTTCAAATTACATGGGATTATAAACACAGTTATTTCGAGTTGAAAGCTAGAGAAAAGAGTAACATGAGGCATTAACATGCAAAATGTCACACCAACTGCCAAATGCCAAACACCATCCACAAAAGTTGGAGAGTGTAACAATATGTCGTCACGTTTCGTGGTGACATAATGAAAACTATAATGGCTTCACAAGTGCAGCATGCTCATTTTGAAACCATGCTAACAATTCTATACCTTCAATGTACGTAAATATGGTATTTTATTTTTAACATATGATCCATTGACGCTGTAGTGTTTCACCCATTGGAGAACTGAAGGTTTTGACATTACAGCTTTGCATTCAAACTTCACTGTATCACCCTCTGCCACAGTTTGGTTCTCGATTTTCTGGTAGATGTAAGGTTTTGAGTTTGGTTCGACTAGATAAAAGAAAATAATTTTATAGTCAACACAGTACATATTCACAATAACCTCCATTGTGCTAGAGAAATAATAGTAGAAACAACTTAAAAAATGACTTAAAATATATCCTAACTTTTGTTTAAAACTTTATCGCTGAAAATAGTTAATGTAACATTAATGAGCTGTACATATGCACATATACTATACAAAACTTCATTCTTCATATTGTGATGTATGATTTAAAATATGAAAATATTGAGTATAACTCAATGCTTGTTATAAGGGAAGGTTTGACAATCAATATGTAACACTGGGATTAGTAAAAAGTGTTTTTTACACATACAAAGGGGATATGGGAAAATTTGAGGTATACACTACATGTACAAACTAAATATTGATGATACTATTACATTGTAAATGTACTAATAACAGTATCAGGAATTACGACATGTAATTGCAACTGTACAGCACATGTACATATAGGTAATATACATGAAAAATACTGGGCACAGTAAATGTATTTACTGTAGTAACATGCATCTCCATGGTAATATCTGTTGTGCTAGAAATTTCATTCATTCAGTCATTTAACATGTGCTGTTCTCTACTTCATTTCACTACTGCCAGGGGTAAGTAAATCAAAAGGAATATACAATTAAACAAAAATAAATAAATAAATAAAGTCAGGTCAAAGACAAAATTCCAAAATGTAACACCAGTCATTCTTATTAGAAGTTAGAACGGCATGTTTGAATGGCAGATCCTTTCAGAATGACCAGTGTTACTATATCATAACAAGACCCGGTTGAAAGTTAGTGTGTGTTCATATTATTATTTCATATGGGATATGAAGTTTATCATGCAGGGTGTAAAATGTTATCTTTTAATATTTCAAAGGTGAACTTGATCTGGTAATCAATACTTTGAAATTTTAAGGTTTAACTTTCAACTCATGCATCTCAAAATCATAGAACTTCAAAACTATAACAAGGTCTCTTGAATCTACAAAATATATTTAATCGCAAGTAGAACAAAAAGTCATGCTTCAATTTTAAGTCTGATTATTTGACGTCACAAGAATGAAAGAAAAAGGAAGTGCTGAAAAACAATTTCAAAAGAACATGCTGGAGGATAATGTCCATCATGCTTGTAAAGAAATATATATCAGTTATCTCATGCCAAGAGAGTTGAAATAAATACCATATACACTATCTCCCAGAGGGGTTAAAACCCATTTTCCTCCTTCTGTTATAATCAAAGATAAACACATTTTACACAGCGTTCATTTACCATACAGTACATTCTGCAAAAACTTGTTGCTTAGCCAATCACAACTTGTCATCCATGTATCACCCGTACATGCTGATATAGACAAATCGATCATGCCAAGATATCGAGACCATTCCTGGTAAACCGCTAATTTTGGCTCTTAGCCACAATAAAACACATGAGCAAATTATTACACTAATTATTTAGCGTAATAACCCGTTTTCAAACTCTGAAATTTGACGTATAAGCAGTTTAACAGAAGTGGGGATACATACAAATGATTGCTCCATTAGGAAGTAAAATCCAAACCCCAGACAAGTGTTCCATGAATCCTATCAATTATAACCTTTGTTGTATTAGATAGCACTATGGAAACGAAAAAGCTATAGTCAAGTAACTAAAAATGAACAATGCCTTTCCATTAAAGAACTGGTCAATACTGCACATTCAAAATGTAAAAATTTCTCTTATTTAGTCTCTTATTTTAGTGTCATTAATGCCATTAATGGTTCATGCGTGGCACAAGTTTGGCAGTTGATAAAAAGGCAATGTTCATAAGAGATGCTTAGAAATAAAACCCTTTCCAGCAATCCAGAATATTTTATAGATGATACCCTTAATAATGTTAACAAGTGTACAACAGTATTCAGAATATACATGTATCAACTTATAATATAAAAATATATAAAAAATAAAATGTGGTTGTTCAAACAAAGTAATTTAATGTAACATGCAAGACTATAAATGTGATAATAAAATTATAAAAAATAAAGTAATATTTAAAATACCAATGTGAAACCCAATCCTACCTCATACTTATCCATTGAAACAACAAAACAAAAACAAGAAAATAGACCAAAAGATCAACAATTTCTGAAGACATTTGAAATTTGATTGACCACCAAATTATTCTAACAAGTATCTTATCATAAGAACTTATGCAAATTAACTATCCTCTTAATCCATGTTTGAACCAAGCATTTATTTTACATACCTGATATAACAACATTGGTGGTGTGGCTAATTTTTCCTAGTGCATTAGATACAATGCAAGTATAGTTCCCAATATCAGTCTCAGGGGAAACGTTTTCTAGTGTCAAACGAAACTTTTTGATTTGGACCTGGAATACAATTAAAAAAATGAAAGATGAGAATTATTGATTAATGTGTATAAAAATATCTCATTCAATATCTTACTTGCGAATGTATTTATTCTTCAAAGTAATACGTTTGGATATCATTACTTCCAGAAAATTCCTGTTAATTTTGATATTAGAAACGTATGAGAAATGAACTCAGGATTCAAATGGATCCTGAAATTGGAGCATCTTTTTAAACTGACACTTTATCTCTAATTTTATATTTAGCAAAGGATAATATATAATAACTATTAATAAAATACATACCCCTCCAACCCGAGTCAAAGATAAGGGTTTGTTATTCTTCTTCCATGTAATATTCAATGGTTCCTGGCCCCAAGCTGCACAACTTAACGTCATTGAGTTGCCTTGTGGGACGGCTTTCCCCGTCACCATCTTTTTTGGCTTCTTGAATCTCGGCTCTGCAGATAAAAACACTCGAATAAGAAAGAAGACATTACTCATTCAAGAAATAATATTATGTGCATATAATCATAGTCTTTACAAAAGGAAAAAGACAATAAACTTCCTAAAAAAAGCATATTCGCCAATATTCATACAAGATACCCATACAAGAGGGGGGGGTGTATAGGTATATCATATATGGGATAAGAGGCATAGCACTATTATATATGAGCCTCAAACATGCGCAATACATCCCCATTAGAACCATGGTAAAATAATTATTTGAATCCATTTACTCACATTTTTCCGAAATTGTCAAGTAAATCGAGTTTAGTTCCAATATAAATCAAACATTTATTCACGTATTCTCCATATAGCATTCCATAACTATGAAAACCCTTTTGATCATAAATAGGGAAAATAGCTTACTGCCAGCATCTGTTGGGATCGTTGGCACTTCCTCCTCCTCCTCCTCTTCTGGTTCTACATCTTCCTCTTCCAACTCTCCAATCTCTTCCTCCTCATCAACTCCTGCAATCATAAAACACAATGATGTACAATCTCATTAAGTGCTGTTCATCAAGCATTGCTATTCCTTGTGTACAATCTTAATGAGTGCTGTTCATCAAGAATTGCTGTTCCTCATGTACAATCTCATAAGTACTGTTCATCAAGCATTGCTGTTCCTCATGTACAATCTCATAAGTGATGTTCATCAAGCATTGCTGTTCCTCATGTACAATCTCATAAGTACTGTTTATCAAGCATTGCTGTTCCTCATGTACAATCTCATAAGTACTGTTCATCAAGCATTGCTGTTCCTCATGTACAATCTCATAAGTGATGTTCATCAAGTACAGTCCCAATGAGTGCTGTACATAAAACAGTGCTGTTAAGAATAATTCTAAAAAGGAGATTCTTCCTATTTTAGATATTTGGAAATTTACATATTTTTACTTCAAAGTCCACTGAAACAATTAATTGATCTATAATCTTATATTTTTATTTCATCTTTAGCTTACCTGATAAAACAACATTTGTGGTATGTCGGATTTCTCCAAGACTGTTTGATACAATGCATGTATAGTTGCCTATATCAGCCTCTGCGGAAATATTTTGAAGTATGATGCGGGTCTTTCGTATTTGTATCTGAAAAATAATATTTAAAGATTCGAACCTTCCTTCACACAGTAAACATGTTATTTCTATTTCTTGAAAAATAGGTAAGTATACCCAATAACATTTTGATACTCATAGCATCTTTTTGTTTCACCTGAAACACATCTCGGGGCTGAGAAGAAATAAGATGTCATGGTTTATCATGATGACCAAATAAGTGTAAAACAATGTTTTGTAAATGTTCTTTGGACTAATTGGCTCAAATATTATAAAAATTAGAGAAAGTAATAACATTTGGCTAGGTAATCTTTCAATTTAACGTCCATGTATGTTTATACTCAAATGAACCAATTAAAGCCAAAGGGCATAAATGCAAGTTATATCAACAAGTAAAGCCATCACTTTCCCTTTCTAAAGGTATATACATATTATGCAACTTAATAAAAAGTAAAAGTAACTACTCACTCTAGTGTTCTGTGCTAAAGGTTGATCATCTTTAAACCACTCAGTCTTCATTGGTTCTTGGCCATATGCAGCACAGCTCAATGATAATCCCCTGCTCTCATGAACATGCCTCAACGCAAGCAACCGTTTTGGCCTTTTGAATCTTGGCTCTGCAAATACAATGACATGAGGTATGAGTAAAACAATGGCAAACTAAATACGATGACATAAAGTATGAGTAAAACAATGGCAAACTAAATACCATGACATAAAGTATGAGTAAAACAATGGCAAACTAAATACAATGCCATAAAGTATGAGTAAAACAATGGAAAACTAAATACCATGACATAAAGTATGAGTAAAACAATGGCAAACTAAATACCATGACATAAGGTATGAGTAAAACAATGGCAAACCAAATACAATGCCATAAAGTATGAGTAAAACAATGGCAAACTAAATACAATGACATAAAGTATGAGTAAAACAATGGCAAACTAAATACAATGACATAAAGTATGAGTAAAACAATGGCAAACTAAATACAACGATATAACGTATGAGTAAAACAATAGCAAGCTAAATACCATGACATAAAGAATGAGTAAAACAATGGCAAACTAAATACGATGACATAAAGTATGAGTAAAACAATGGCAAACTAAATACAATGACATAAAGTATGAGTAAAACAATGGCAAACTAAATACAATGACATAAAGTATGAGTAAAACAATGGCAAACTAAATACAATGACATAAAGTATGAGTAAAACAATAGCAAGCTAAATACAATGACATAAAGTATGAGTAAAACAATGGCAAACTAAATACGATGACATAAAGTATGAGTAAAACAATAGCAAGCTAAATACAATGATATAAAGTATGAGTAAAACAATGGCAAACTAAATACAATGACATAAAGTATGAGTAAAACAATAGCAAGCTAAATACAATGACATAAAGTATGAGTAAAACAATAGCAAGCTAAATACAATGACATAAAGTATGAGTAAAACAATGGCAAACTAAATACAATGACATAAAGTATGAGTAAAACAATGGCAAGCTAAATACAATGACATAAAGTATGAGTAAAACAATGGCAAACTAAATACAATGACATAAAGTATGAGTAAAACAATGGCAAACTAAATACGCTGTCACAAAGTATGAGTAAAACAATGGCAAGCTAAATACAATGACATAAAGTATGAGTAAAACAATGGCAAACTAAATACAATGACATAAAGTATGAGTAAAACAATGGCAAACTAAATACAATGACATAAAGTATGAGTAAAACAATGGCAAAGTGAATACAATGACATAAAGTATGAGTAAAACAATGGCAAACTAAATACAACGATATAACGTATGAGTAAAACAATAGCAAGCTAAATACAATGACATAAAGTATGAGTAAAACAATGGCAAACTAAATACAATGACATAATGTATGAGTAAAACAATGGCAAACTAAATACGCTGTCATAAAGTATGAGTAAAACAATGGCAAACTAAATACAATGACATAAAGTATGAGTAAAACAATGGCAAACTAAATACAATGACATAATGTATGAGTAAAACAATGGCAAACTAAATACGCTGTCATAAAGTATGAGTAAAACAATGGCAAACTAAATACAATGACATAAAGTATGAGTAAAACAATGGCAAACTAAATACAATGACATAAAGTATGAGTAAAACAATGGCAAACTAAATACAATGACATAAAGTATGAGTAAAACAATGGCAAACTAAATACAATGACATAAAGTATGAGTAAAACAATGGCAAGCTAAATACAAAGACATAAAGTATGAGTAAAACAATGGCAAACTAAATACAATGATATAAAGTATGAGTAAAACAATAGCAAGCTAAATACAATGACATAATGTATGAGTAAAACAATGGCAAACTAAATACGCTGTCATAAAGTATGAGTAAAACAATGGCAAACTAAATACAATGACATAATGTATGAGTAAAACAATGGCAAACTAAATACAATGACATAATGTATGAGTAAAACAATGGCAAACTAAATACGCTGTCATAAAGTATGAGTAAAACAATGGCAAACTAAATACAATGACATAAAGTATGAGTAAAACAATGGCAAACTAAATACAATGACATAATGTATGAGTAAAACAATGGCAAACTAAATACGCTGTCATAAAGTATGAGTAAAACAATGGCAAACTAAATACAATGACATAAAGTATGAGTAAAACAATGGCAAACTAAATACAATGACATAAAGTATGAGTAAAACAATGGCAAACTAAATACAATGCCATAAAGTATGAGTAAAACAATGGCAAACTAAATACGCTGTCATAAAGTATGAGTAAAACAATGGCAAACTAAATACAATGATATAAAGTATGAGTAAAACAATAGCAAGCTAAATACAATGACATAAAGTATGAGTAAAACAATGGCAAACTAAATACAATGACATAATGTATGAGTAAAACAATGGCAAACTAAATACGCTGTCATAAAGTATGAGTAAAACAATGGCAAGCTAAATACAAAGACATAAAGTATGAGTAAAACAATGGCAAAGTGAATACAATGACATAAAGTATGAGTAAAACAATGGCAAACTAAATACAATGACATAATGTATGAGTAAAACAATGGCAAACTAAATACGCTGTCATAAAGTATGAGTAAAACAATGGCAAACTAAATACAATGACATAAAGTATGAGTAAAACAATGGCAAACTAAATACAATGACATAATGTATGAGTAAAACAATGGCAAACTAAATACGCTGTCATAAAGTATGAGTAAAACAATGGCAAACTAAATACAATGACATAAAGTATGAGTAAAACAATGGCAAACTAAATACAATGATATAAAGTATGAGTAAAACAATAGCAAGCTAAATACAATGACATAAAGTATGAGTAAAACAATGGCAAACTAAATACAATGACATAATGTATGAGTAAAACAATGGCAAACTAAATACGCTGTCACAAAGTATGAGTAAAACAATGGCAAGCTAAATACAAAGACATAAAGTATGAGTAAAACAATGGCAAAGTGAATACAATGACATAAAGTATGAGTAAAACAATGGCAAACTAAATACAATGACATAATGTATGAGTAAAACAATGGCAAACTAAATACGCTGTCATAAAGTATGAGTAAAACAATGGCAAACTAAATACAATGACATAAAGTATGAGTAAAACAATGGCAAACTAAATACAATGACATAATGTATGAGTAAAACAATGGCAAACTAAATACGCTGTCATAAAGTATGAGTAAAACAATGGCAAACTAAATACAATGACATAAAGTATGAGTAAAACAATGGCAAACTAAATACAATGACATAAAGTATGAGTAAAACAATGGCAAACTAAATACAATGACATAAAGTATGAGTAAAACAATGGCAAACTAAATACAATGACATAAAGTATGAGTAAAACAATGGCAAACTAAATACGCTGTCATAAAGTATGAGTAAAACAATGGCAAACTAAATACGCTGTCATAAAGTATGAGTAAAACAATGGCAAGCTAAATACAAAGACATAAAGTATGAGTAAAACAATGGCAAACTAAATACAATGACATAAAGTATGAGTAAAACAATGGCAAACTAAATACGCTGTCATAAAGTATGAGTAAAACAATGGCAAGCTAAATACAAAGACATAAAGTATGAGTAAAACAATGGCAAACTAAATACAATGACATAAAGTATGAGTAAAACAATGGCAAACTAAATACGCTGTCATAAAGTATGAGTAAAACAATGGCAAGCTAAATACAAAGACATAAAGTATGAGTAAAACAATGGCAAACTAAATACAATGACATAAAGTATGAGTAAAACAATGGCAAACTAAATACAATGACATAATGTATGAGTAAAACAATGGCAAACTAAATACGATGACATAAAGTATGAGTAAAACAATGGCAAACTAAATACGATGATATAAAGTATGAGTAAAACAATGACAAACTAAATACAATGACATAAAGTATGAGTAAAATAATGGCAAACTGATTAGTAAGTTTCCAGTTTCTGTAATAAGCAAGGAATCAGAAGATCTTCATGTAATTGATCTCATAAAAAGATTACAAACAATACATAAATGACAGAGAAGACCATATAAAAAACTAAATAAAAAAGATTTATGGTACATAGTACATGCATAAATAGGTGGCAGCACTAGAGACAAGTGGTAATTCCTATGCTATTTCACTGTTATCAGAATAAGAAATCCTCAAATGAAACAAACATGATCATAACCTAAAAGCTATATTCAACTTATAACTGAACCCAAAATCACATCCACATCGAAATATCTATGTTTTAACAACAGCAAAAAAAAAAGTTACATAGAGGACACACCCCGATTCAGCCGTGTTTTCCAAGAATTGGGATTGAGGCTAATTGGAGAAGTATTGGAAATTGCACGTCAAAATGCCTTTAGAAACAGACACGAGTGGTTAAGAGTTGACGTAGGTGTACAATAGCCTGCGATTTTATATAACATGTCAGGATTGGTTGTAATATTATATCATCAACTATCCAGCCTATCCTGTTTGTGAACTATATTTCTTTTTTTATCATTAAGACATATTTGTTTCATCTTGATCCACAAAAACTTGAAGTTTTCATTCATTTACCAGCTCATTTAGTTGATTCAGGTTCTACTTGTTCGTATCAACACTGAATATTGAATTGTTAGTTTGATCCATTTAAGACAATTACATATATAGAAATATATTATGTAGAGTAAGTATATGCCAAGTCAGGGCTTTTGGTATGACTAATCTAATATCAACAAACAGCAATTTAAAATAATATCTCTGCTATCAAGTTCATTCTGACTTCATCAAACTTGATTTCAAATAACTTTTCTATTCATGTAATCGAGTTAACACTTTTCTTTAGTCTTTAAATATGGAAAACATTATCACTTGGATATTTACTAGTGCTGAATTGATTCTTCCACTAAGGCTGTTTCTGACACAAAACGTCAAATTGGGAACTTTTATTTTTTATAATAGGAAATGTTACTATTAGATCTGGCCACACATGAAGTGCAACTTTTACTACCACAATTTCCTAATCGTGGTATATTGCTGCAAGAATGATT